CTACTTCTGTCCTGAGTTGCCTGGGGAAAGTTAAAACTGTCAAAGGCATTACTTGTTTCATATAATCTGTATATTTAAACTTGCATGGTTTTGGAAATACAGAAAAAGCAAATCTGAGTAAGATGCTACAAAATCCTGTGCAACATTGCAGGCAGAAAACTAACTTCAATTGATTACAAAGTTTTTAACAGGCATTTCTTCCCTATTAATTATATTCAGTTTCTGAATGCAAATAGTTATGCATATATGAAGGAAATTTAGTGGGTCTCTAGGTTCTTGACTCCATTTCTTGTCATTCTGTGTGATTTTAATAAATCAGAGGGTTGGGACTAATAAGGGACTGATATTTCAGGATACACAAGCCTTTCAGCCTTGGGGCTGAGCGTGCTAACGACAGGCTTAGTTCCCTGCATGAAGAGAAATGCAGGTACAGATCCAAAACAAGCAGCACACTCAGTGAGGAGCTAACAAGAGCTTTGTTTCAGGGTGAGGAAACTCTATGAACATAGACGTGGGTGAAGTCCCACCCTGGTGCTTGGCACCTTTATCTTCTTTGGACTCAGAATTTGGAGTCCTCTTCTGGCAGGGAGTGCCAAAATCTGTTCTTTAAAACAATGAATAAAGAGTCCCTGTAGCTTTTCTGGTCTGTGACTTCAGTTCATGTGGCTGCTGGTCACAGCATTTTTCTTTGTGTTATTGCTGGAAAACAGCAAGGTCGGTGTTAACAGCCTGCCAAAGGCACTTAAAGGGCCTTTTGGGCTGTCAGCAGATATGAAATTCCCAATAAGCAATGTTCCTTTTCTTTTAAAGTGCAGCTGGAGGAAACAGTGTCCACCTTCTCTGTGCTGCTACCCAGTGGTCAGAGCATTGGCCAGGAAGTGGGAGTTCCTGGGGAGCATTCATGCCTCATCCCTGACCACCATGCTAGACTGGGAGGAGGAAGAGCAGGAAGGAAACAGGGAGTCACCACCTTTTCGTTTGAAGTTATGACCCTGCTCCAAAAAGCATGTGAGCTCAAACAAGGACAAGGCAGCTGAGGCCAAAGAGCAAAACAAGGAGGTGTCTCTCTCGTCTAGTTCAATCATCAAAACAGGGTCCTGGGGTTAATTTATGCATTTCTGCAGTAACACTGGTCTGGGAAAAGTTACCAGAAGCCAGAAAAAAGTGCCTACAGATCCCTATGTCTCCTTCCTTTTAGCTCACACTAGTGCCACACATTTGCCATCCTTTCCAGTAGGGCACAAACTCACCTAGTGAGGTGATGAATGGTTCCCTTTCGTTTTGCAATCCTCCTGAGCAGCTGGGAGACTCTCCTGGTAGTTAGGAGGTGTTGATGTAAATGCCTTCGAGCTAAAAGGCAATTCTTCAATCCCTGGGTCACAGTACTGAAGGTAAGCACTCTACCAAATTCTGCCAGGCACTGAAGCCATCTGTGCCTACAGCAGAAGACCCTGACTTGTTGGCTTGGAGAGGTTCCACTCAGCAGGACCTCTCTTAGAGCTGCTCCATCTACTTCCTAGACCACAAAGAGGACACAGGTTCCCAGGTGCCCAGTTTGGGGCAATTCTGAACACTTCTCTCCAGAAACAGATTAACAAGAGTTCAGGTGGCTGCTCAGAGGAGTTTTTCAGAACTGCATTTTTAGTTTACCCACACTATTTTCCTGATCTCAGTGTTTCAGGTTACATTTATACAGTTAAGTGTAGTTACAGAGTTGGCAACATCCAGCAGGACTTTAAGTGGCCATGGACTTCAAGTAGTTCTGGCCTAGTTCTAGTTCATAGCCCAGCTCTTCTCAAAGCAACCCACTCCCCAGCATAAACTATTCCACAGACTTTCTGTATGGAAGATTTGGTCTCCTAAGGAGAAGCTGGTGTATAATTTACCCATCCCTGCTGTATTTGTGACCTCTAAGGAGGGAGGGTGGCAGGGTTTGGTGCAAATGTATGCCTGCAACACATAATAGAACAGAACACATTAGGTGTGCAAACACATGCTTAGAAGCAAATAAAGGCCACATCTCCTCCCAAACAGAATGGTTTGGACTTGACACCAAACTTGATCCTGGGTTCAAAGGCAGTAGAGGAGCAGCCTCTGACTTTTTGGTGTCTCTTTGCAAAACAGGAGTCACAGAACTTTGTTTTCTCAGAGGGCAGCCGTGAAGAAAAATGCATTTTAATCCGGAGTGCCATTTATTGTGGCAACATGCCAAAACACAGATCTAAAAAGGGAGGGTGAACTTTTTGAAGAGTCATCCCATCCTAGGTATTTAGCAATTGGAATGAAGTAAGCCTTAAGAAAACCAGGTGTAAAGGAAAACAGTCAAAGGAATTTAATTTAAAAAGCAGTTCCTTCTAGACTGCACAAGCTTTAGTGTGTTCTTATTAGTGCTCCAGTATTTGACTAAATGCATTCTCTAGTAAAGTGCTCTTTTGTGACATAGAGAAACTGGAAACTTTTAAAAGTAAATATAATATATTTTAGATCTTATATACTAGAAAGAACATGAATACAATTACTAGATATTGTATTTTCAAAAATAATTCTGCTGGAGGATGTCATCTGCATATGGCTATAGAAGTCCTTATCTGGTTTAAAAAAAAAAAAAGGAAGTTGATAAATCATGAAGGAAGGAAATACTGAGGTTTAAAACAGCCACAAATTTGTTTTTCTTCAGCTTATCATTTTGAAAACTCAACTGCTGTAATTCTGGATGAGTTGCCAGATTGTTTCCTTCATAATTCTGCCTCTCTCTTATCCATTCTTTAGGGATCAAAAACAAGCATATTAACTTCGGGCTGTGAACACGCAAATCAAACAAACACATTCCCCTAACTTTGGGCTCTGATTAATTCCACTGGTAGCCTTTGACCTTGATTTCCACAATGTCTTGCAGTGCATAAAGAAGCCTGACCTGGTATCAGAAAACTGCAGAGATTTGGTTTGGAAAAAAAATAAAGCCATCCTCATCGCTATTCCCTAAGTACTACATTAAAATCTATAAAACAAAGGGCTGAAATCTGAAGTTTAGGCCTTGGAGCCAGTTTCACAATCTGTTTCCTGTAGCCAGAGTTCATTTGGAGCCAGTGGAAAAAACAGCTTCTAAAAGATAAAAGACAGTGCTGTGACTTTCAATCAATCTTGGCATTCAGTGTGTGAACATAGCTGTACCAAAGTCTAAAACACCAAAGCTCCAGCTCTGATTCTGGTTCACTCTTCTGATCTTGGATGTATGTTGCCATTGTCAGAGACACCCTACAACTCATGATGGGAAAAATAAGATCTAGCCGACTTCAGGAGATCAAAATCTGGATAGAAATAAAGCAAACAGATGTGACATGCCCATTCATGGAAAAGTGGGAGACCATAACAAGTGATAACAGAATGGGATGGGAAGCTGAAGTGGCACCTAATGTAAAAAACAGAAGAAACAAACAAAACAACATAAAAAGCACAGACAGAACTATTTTCTTTGAACCCATCAGTTGCGGTGGGCGGAGGCCTGGAGTGCTTAGAGAAGTCAGGACTCCTATTTATTACAGGTAGTGCTGATTTCAGCAGATGCATTGTTCACCAGGGTGCCAAAGGCCTGGAGGAAGCAGCTGCGCAAAGCAGCCCAGGCCTGTCCACCCTGCTGAACAATGGCAACGCAGCCTCCTGGCAGAAAGGGTTTTATGGGGAAAAACAGATTGGTCTTCCTTCAAAGGTACAGGTAAATGCAAGTTTAAAGAAACTTCCAGAAAACAAAGGGATGGCAGATTTCTGTAAAGAAATCAGATTCTTTACAAAGAAGAGAGCTGGCGATGGATGGTGTTGGTGAGCCAGCCCAGCCTCTGTTCCTGGACTCAGAAGTGCTTTCTGTGCCTTTCTGGGGCGTAAGAGTAGCTCATTCTGCATTTACCTTAAGTTCTGACATCTGAATTTTAGAGTGGGAAATGTGTTTGTGAGAAGCAAAAAATAATTATGCGAGACTCTATGTAGGCTCAATGTCCTGTTTCTAATTTACTCCCAAGTATTCTTTTGCCTTTCTGTGTACTCAAAATTTTAGTTTCATGATTGTTTCAATGTGACAGCTGCAAACACTTGTTTTCTTCTCCTCTTCTCTGCCAAGAGGTGAACTGGATCAAGGAACTGACTTGGCTGAAAATGAAAATTTATCGTTAAAAGCACCTTTTTTTTTTTTTTTTTTTTTTTTTTTCCCTCACAGTAACAAATGTGCTTGCTGATGTTCAGCCCTCTAGGCACATATAAATGTCCGGATTTATGCGCGGGTAAGATTCCCCCCGAGTCTTCTCCAGCTTCATCAGCCCCTGCACAACTGGGATTTTAAAAAAATCCCCTGGGATTAATCTGGATAAAAACACCGCGGAACTGCTGCTCAGTGTGAATATTCCGGGGATTTCCCCGCCCTCGCCCCTATCCCTCCTTTATCCCAAGTGATGACGGGACTGTGTTTCCTTAGCACCGACAGATCTTCCGCTCCCGCCGACGCGCTTACTTAGGATACACCCCAGGACTGCTTCACCCCCGGCTGCCGCCAGCTGCCGGTGCTCCATAAAACCCCCCAAACTGCTATCAAACGGGATGACGGGAACACCGTGCGCCATCCCTGCCAGCGCTCCCCCTTCCCCGGCGGCATCCCGGCCGCGCGCCGCGCTGCCTGCCGGGACACGTAGTCTTCCCGCGGGAGGGCCGCAGGACCGCCCGTTGGCCGGACTACATATCCCAGCAGCCCTTCCCGGAACCGCCGCTCCCCGCCGCGATTGGGCCCCCCCGGCTGCGGGCGCTGCAAGGCGATTGGCTGAGCGGCGCGTCTGTCGCGCGGGCTCCCCGTGCTGGGCGGGGCTCTGTGCCCCCGACCCGGGTGCGGGCACTGCCGGGGGTCGGTGGCGGCCCCGGCGGGGAGGGCCGAGGGGCCGCCCCGGGAGAGGCAGGGCCGGGGCCGCCCCTTCCCTCCATGCCCGGGGCAGGGAGGAGGAGCCGCCGGCGCCGCGGGGTGGTGGCCGCCCCTCTCCCCGCCGGGAATGCGGCGCGGGCAGCGGGCTCTGCGCTCGCCGCGGCCGCGCTCGTCGTCGTCTGTGTGGGCGGGCTGGCGGCTGCCGGGAGCCCGCCATGGGGCGGCCGCGCCGGGGCTGCTGAGGAGGAGGAGGCGGCGGCGGGGGAGCAGCGGCCGGGCGGCCCCATGGAGGAGCGGGAGGGCGAGGTGCGCTGGGACGGGCTGTGCAGCCGGGACGCCGCCGCCCGCGCCGCCGCCCTGGACACCATCGGGCAAGCCGTGCTCCGCCGCGCGGAGAGCGTCGCCTCCGGGGCGGCCGCCGACGGGCTGCCGGTGCCCGCCGCCCGGGACGGGCTGGGCGAGGCGCTGGCCCGCCTGCTCATGCTGTCCAGGAGGTGCCCCTTCCCCGACGTGAGGGAGAAGAGCGAGGCGATCCTCGGCGGGGTGCAGGTGAGCGCGGCACGCCATCCCTTGCCTTGGGACCCGGGGGCTCTCCCGGCCCCGTCCCACGCAGGGCGCCTTCGGCTTTCGTCTGTGCGACGAGGCGGGCGTCTGAGCCACCCTGTCAGATTTATTCCTGCAATTAATACGTGTTAAGTGCTCCCCACCTCCATGGCTCTCTCCCTGAATAAACATTTGGAAAAGCGTGATTGAAAGACGGTGGGGGGGAGGGGGGTGTGTTTGAATATCTCACTGAAGACACTCAAAAAACACCTGGATGTGTTCCTGTGTCACCTGCTCTAGGTGACCCTGCCTTGGCAGTGAGGTTGGACTGGATGATCTCCAGAGGTCCCTTCCAACCCTAAGTATTCTGTAAAAAAGCACGAAGTCTTTCAGTGGAATCCGCCAGAGAGGATTTGGCAATGAATGGCTGGAAAGTTGGGGATCCCCAAGGAAGCACTAAAATGACAACTTTAACGCTCTGGTTTCAGTCTGTATGATCAGTGCTGTGGTATTACCCGGTTAACTTAAACAGAAACGCAGGAAGGATTTGGGTATTGATATTAGTGTTGCCAATTGAAAATATAAATGGCAAGTCTTGGAGCTTTTAAAAGCCGTATGAGCTTGTTGTTAAGGCAGAGCCTGTCAGAATGCCCTTCTTCTTGTTTATTGGTAAATAGTTTTTCCACTGGCATCGATAGGATCCAAACTATTTTTTTTTCATAGCTCATAGGCAGCCTAGCCAATAGAGGATTGCATTTACTGACCTGATGCTAACAGAAATAAATGTTACTTTGTACTCTTCCACTCTTACAGTCTAATTATAGTTACTTGCATTGCGATTGTCTTGCTCACCTCAGGTTTTTGCACGGATCTTGGAATTCTTGTATCAACGGGTCCATCTTTAGCTACTAAAAGTAGCTAAAGATGCTACTTTTAGCTGCAGAGTGGGAAAAGGAAATTCGGGTGTTTCTTTTAATCACAAGTGAATACAGAGAGCTGTGCTTGGAGATAGCTGCCTGATTCTCACTACTGTGCTTTTTCTCCCTGAACTTTAACAGGTTGAATATAGGGAAATCCAGGGAAACATAATAATATATGAAAGTAGACAAAATAATTTATACATTATATGCATAAATATGTAGAACATAAAAACATTATATGTTATCATATATATATAGAAACACATTCTTAATTTGAGTTATTGGAGCTGAAAGAGTCTCTGTTTATTTTGTCTAACTTCTCAGTAGTGTGCATTGTAAGAAATACAGTGTAACTTATTTTACCCAGTTAAGCCTGTGTGTGGAGTTTTTCTCAAAGCTCATGGTTTAAGTGGATAGTTTGACATCTCTTTAAAAACTGAAGCCAGTGAAACAAACAATCACCCCAAACTTGAATATTGAGTTGAAAACTTAATCTGGCTTTTTCCCTGTTAAAGGTGACTCTGTTACCAGAGAGAATGATGAGTTACTGCAACAGATTGCTAAGGGAAGACTTGTTTTTGCCAGGTTCAAGATATCAGAGTCTATTCAAATGCCAGACAGATGGTGATCTCTCACCTAAATTTTGGGGTGAGGTCAGAATACAGGAGTGGATGACTCCCTTTTAGTTTTTATGTATTTGTAGTTAGTGGCATGTTCAACTATTAGTGTGGTTTAGAAACTTTGTTACTAGCTTCTTTTTTTTTTTAACTAGGCCAAAAAATTCTGGCAGAAATGTCCATCTTGATACAGCAAATGCGAGTTCAAATGCTGTGGTCCTTGCTGGTTTGATTAATAAACATAGGTGTGAAAGGTTTACTAACTGTGAAACCATTGTATACACACAAGGTGCAGTAAGTTTTCCAGCAAGTTAAGCAAAGTAAAATAAAATAGAACATTATTTTAAGAAAATTTTTGAAAGCTGCTTTTGTAAATTTTCGTTTTCAGAAGAAGAGATCTAAGAGAGAAGTATTCTCTATTTTATGAATTGAGAGTGGCAAATCTTAGTTCTTGTGTCTGTACTCATAAATGAAAATTTTCATTGTAATCTTTGGAGAATTGTTGGAGAAATAACCCAGTGCAAGTGTTCTGTTTTGGGTGCTGAGGACTATTGTCAGCCATGAAATGGTCTTCTGTTGATTAATGACCAAGAATAATATTATTCAGATCTTTGCAGTGAAGATGGCAGATAGAGCAAACTGTTAAATATTATCACCCCACAGAAGCTGTGGCTTTCAGCAGTGCTTCCAAAGGTTAGTAACATAAAAATGTGCAATCCCATTCAGGACAACATCAGCACTTGTATTACTTTATCTCCCTGTTTTGGGATCTGAAAAAATACTGAAGTCCACAGCAATATGTACAATTATGCTGTCCAAAGTTATTAAATGACATGGAACCCAAGGCAGGAGAGGCAGCTTTGAACCCAGAAGTTCTTCTGTGAACTGAGGCTCCTCTCATTCTCTGTCCTGTGGAATGGTCCATCCCAGACTAGAACTCTGAGCCTGGACTCATATTTCTTTTTATTCCTGCCCACTCCAGCTGCCTCAATATTCATCTTTCAGATTTGCTTCCAGCATAAATCAGCGAGGAAATAAAAGATTAGAATTTTCCATGTGGTCTGATTGGGATTTCTTTCTTTGAGTTAGTGCCCTCTTGCCTGTTGGGGCAGTCAGCAAATATTTAGGCGTCAGCAACTGGTGCTCTTGGTGATTTTGCAGCTTTGTGTCTGGAGCAGGTTGGTAGGATGCATTATATGGCTGGTATAAGCTGCAGGCTTGAAGCAGTCTGTGTCAGCCTGGCATCCCTCTAAGCCTGCCTTTGTTATGTTTTGGGGTTTTTTCTGCCTGGATAAAAATTCCTCTGATATATGGTGGACTGCTAAGTGTACAGCTTTCTTCTTTGCTATTAATAAGTAGCATTAATAATGAGATTATTAATAAATAATATTGCTTGTATCAGAATCTATAGAATTAATTACTGCTTAACATAAATTCCCATTGATTTGACTTATGTTCAGGATAATGAGTTTTCTTATTGTAGGCTATATGTCTATATATGTATAATAACATATTTTTTTTTTATCTGAGAGAATACATCTGGTTTCCCATTTAGAATGAGTTTTTTTTGTAAGGGTTATTATAAAGACAATGTCAGCAAATGAATTCCCTTTTTTCTAAGTTTTGCTTTTATTAATAAAAGCAAGTTCCTAAAGCCACTTTGACCTCAATAAATAATTTAATAAATGTTTTAAGGATATTTCAATCGCAGTGCTTTAACCAAGTGAAAACTGTTTCAATGTTTGCATATGAAAATGTTTGATGAACAGATTTTGAGGTAAAGCCCCCAGTATGCATCACAGGTTCTTGGTAAACTCTTGCTTGTGGGGTGTTTTGGATGTATTTATAGCAGAGTGCCTATGACCTTGCAGAGCGGTGCGTCATCGCTCCCGGTGTGCTGGGTGTCTGCACACCAGCACAAATATATTGGGAAAGAACAGCACTGGAATGTCTAAACACGTGCTTGGTAAAAGTCTTCTGCCAGCTTCTGTTGGATCAATCAGCAATGTATGAGTGGAATATAAATACAAGGTGGCTGTCCGTAGATGGAGAAGAATCACTGAAAGGATGAGATTTGATAATTAAAATCTCTTCTAACCATTCAGTGGAGAAAACTCAGCAGAACATACTGCTCTCCATGGGTGTGTAAATTCATTCTCTTCATAAACAAAGAGAATACAGAGATGGAGGGCAGGTTCTGCAGGTGCAACAGGATGCTAGCCTACATAGGATGACAGCAGAATAAAACCCATAAGTGTCAAAAAGCAGAGGATATGGCACGCAGCGCTTGATTGGAGGCAAATATAAGGTAGAAAGAAACAATCTCTACTTCTTTGAGAAGTAGTCTAATGATATCAAACACTTGCATTGAAGGGGAAAATTAGTAATGAAAAAATAGCTCCGCTCTCTGTTGATCTTTTCATTGATGTAAGCAAAGGAAACATACAGAAAGCAAACAAAGATGTATGCGTAAAGCTAGGATGGTCAAAAACATAAGGAAGCATAGCTAAAAGTAATATTGGAAGAAAGCAAGAAATAAAAGATCCACAGATCAGTGGATTAACAGATAATGCTGAGGTGATGGAAATGTTTTCTGAAACGGTTAATCTGCCTGTAGTCAATACCCATGATAAAAGCATAAGTAGTACCTTCCTAGGCTGGAGGGTGGAGGGAAAACTGTAGGTTACTTGGATAAACAACAGATTTTAAATCTGGTAGGGCCTGGTAAAATTAATTCCAGGGTGCTTAAAAAAGCAACTAGCTGAAGTCATCTTGTGTAGTGGATTGCAATTTCAAGATAGTGGAGGGAAGTAGCTGACTCAGATTAATTGGTGGATACCTCTTCAGTGTGGGCTAAATGGGATGGGATGGAGAGGAAGCTGATAGGTTTTAACTGTAGCTCAAAGAAAAAATGCTGGGCTAGTGTTGGAACACATTTTTAGTGCCTAGGAAAAGAAGTTGAGCAACAGCCAAAGCAGACTTAGCCAGGATAAATTCTTTTAAATCCAGCATTGCTACTGCTTCTGTGATGGAGTAACAGGCCTTGTGGTGCAGAGAGATTCTGTTATATTAATGGATTGATAAACTGGAGTCCTTAGTGTTCACATGATAGCTTTATTAACAAGCTGGGGAATTGTGATCTATAAATTGCACTTTAGTGAGTAAAATTAGCTGGAAAACCATCCCCAGAAGGTAAGCAAGGTCAGGTAACAAGTACTTGGTACAGGCTCTACAGGGTCCTGTCCAGCAAAGTTTTGATTAACAAATTTTTATGCTGTGTTGAATAGATTACAAGCTGGGAGGGAGAGTAAGAATACTGGAGAGCAATCATATAATTTAAAATTACTTTAATATTTAATGTGAGCTTGTATCATACCTTCTCGTTCTTTGGAGTTCTTTTGTGAAGAAAGTTTGAAGTACTTAGTTGTGGTGTGGTCAGCTAAAAGGAGGTTTAAGATAATATGTTTCC